AAACGAGCAGCAAATACGGTGGTAGGACATAGCATCGGCTGCCGGCTTTAAAGTTACCACCCACCAGACAAAGCCATACCGCCAAGCGATCCGTCGTGTTCCGGCGTGATGTCTGGTGAAGCCGTACGGTGGAAGTCGGGTCTGAGCGATTGTGTTGCGATGTATGCCGGGTATGATACACCAGCTACTGTCGCGTCGGACGTTTGATCGTGGAGGGTAGCGGGATCCGAAGCACGGTGCTCCGCTGGCCGACCGTAGACAGTTGGGGGCCCAAGTAGTGTGCCAGCCACACACGAAAGGCTGCCTCGCCATCTGCGAAAAATCCCAGGGTGGCCCCATCGTGCCGGTTGGCGTCCGGGCGAGAGGACCCGATGGCGATCCCTGGGGGGGTTCGGGCGTCCCCGCAGTCTCCAGATCAACCCTCCATTAGCGCGGCTGCACTGGTTGTGTTATGGATATCATCGCATCACCTTGCCCAACTGCCTTCTTCCAGCATCCCTATTCACTCAAATTTATATAAAGAAAAAAAATCATGAAAGGTATAAAGAGAAGCAAGTGTCGACAGCGGATGCACGTCCTCTCGTTTAAAGTGCACCTCTCAAATATCCGAGGACTGCACTCCAATCTCGTTGCGGTCCACCACCATCTGGAGACCGATAAGCCACACCTGCTTTTCTTGACGGAGACGCAGATTAGATGTCCGTCAGATACGGCGTACCTCAACTACCCGGGATACTCATTGGAGCATCATTTCTTGCAGCGTGCCGGGGTCTGTGTGTACGTCCGTAATGACATCTGCTGCCAGCGTCTCCGTCACCTTGAAGACACAAGTCTGTCTACGTTGTGGCTGTTGGTGGACACTGGTATGGACAAAATTGTTTACGCCTGTGTCTACCGATCGCACAGCGGCGATCAGGAGACGACTCGACTTTTTGACCATCTCAGTCAGGCCGCCGATGAGGCTCTGCTTTGGCACCCTAATGCGCAGTTCGTCGCTCTGGGGGACTTTAATGCTTGCCACCAAGACTGGCTTTACCCATACCAGAGGACCGACCATGCTGGGAGAGAGGCGCAGAACTTTGCGGTTTCGTTGGGCCTTTCCCAGCTGGTTAGGCAAGCGACTAGGGTGCCTGATGTGGTTGGTCATACTGCCAATTGCCTGGGCCTTCTGTTGACCACCGATCCAGACAGATGTATCGTAACAGTTTCTTCGCCCCTTGGAACTTCAGATCACTGTCTTGTGAAATCTTTATCGTCCTTCTCCCCACCTGACTGCGTCTCACGCGGTGAGCGGCGGATGTGGCGTTACAAGTCAGCAGATTGGGATGAGATGCGGCGCTTCTTCGCATCTTATCCTTGGCAGCGGGTCTGCTTCTCTTCTGAAGATCCGTCGAGCTGTGCGGATGCTGTTGCCGATGTGATACGTCAAGCTATGGAGTACTTCATCCCATATACCGACGTACCCATCGGCGGCTCGGCTCACCCATGGTTCAATGCCGAATGCGCTCAAGCTGAACAGCGTAAACATTCGGCTTTTCTCGCCTGGGTTAACGCTCGTGACCATAAAGCTCCGGATCTGAGCTCAAAGAAGAGAGCCTTTAACCATGCTGCCAAGTCCTACAAAAAGGCACTGAGGAAGGCTCGCTTCGACCGCATCACCTACATTGGCACAAAACTCTCTGCACAACCTTCCGGTAGCAGAGCATTCTGGTCCCTTGCCAAGTCGGTCGAAGCGAACTTCTGTCGGCCTACACTGCCTCCACTGGTTAAACCTGATGGAACACTGGCTCATACCGCGAGGGAGAAAGCAGGTCTCTTTGCATCACTCTTCGCCCATAATTCTCGTCTTGACACTTGTGGTGCTACTCCACCAACTCTACCCATCTGCGACACCTCGATGCCCGAAGTTCGCTTAAGGAGCAAAGAAGTTCTGAGAGCACTGTGTCGTCTAGACGTGAATAAAGCTAGTGGGCCTGATGGTATACCAGCGATAGTTCTCAAGGCTTGTGCGCCCGAGTTGTCTCCTGTATTGACGCGCCTGTATCGCCTCTCATTTAGGACTGGTATTGTGCCAAAGTCCTGGAAGCTCGCCAACGTGCAACCCGTGCCCAAGAAGGGCAGTCGTTCCGATCCTGCCAACTATCGGCCGATTTCGATAACCTCCATACTCTGCAAGATTATGGAGCGAGTGTTGAATTCGCGCCTCATGGCATATCTAGAAGGTAACGATCTCCTCAGCGACCGACAGTATGGATTTCGCCGCAACCGGTCTACTGGGGACCTACTAGTTTATGCCACTCACTTGTGGGGCGAGGCCCTCGAGAGGAATGGGGAAGCTATTGCCGTGTCCTTAGACGTGTCGAAGGCCTTCGATAGGGTATGGCACGATGGCCTTTTGTCTAAGCGTCCAGCGTACGGCATTTCTCCTGGACTGATAAACTGGGTAAAAGACTTCCTGAGTGGACGGTCACTCCGAGTTGTTATCGATGGATGCTCATCAGAGCCTATGTCGACTAATGCCGGTGTTCCTCAGGGGTCTGTTCTCTCTGCAACTCTATTCCTGCTCCACATTAATGATCTGCTAGTGCCTGGTATCCTTGGGTATGCAGATGATAGCACAGTTGTAGAGAGATACCTGCCCAGTGCTCGGGCTAGTAAGGAGCTAATCCAGTCTGAAAGGGAGGCTATGGTAGAGCGTACGAATGTCTCACTTCAGGTAGTTTCAAAGTGGGGCAAAACTAATCTGGTAACATTCAACGCCACCAAAACACAGGCGTGTCTATTCACCGCCAAAAGGAGCCCGTTCACCTTGGCTCCTGCTTTTCGGGATGTATCCCTGGAGTGCACCGACCGCCTTCAGCTCTTGGGAATGGACATTGCTTCAGACCTCAACTTTGGGCGGTTCATTGAGTCCAGAGCCAAGGTAGCTGCTAGAAAACTCGGCGTTCTTGCAAAAGTCCGACGGTACTTCACACCGAGTCAGCTTCTAATGTTGTATAAAGCTCAGGTCCGATCGTGTGTGGAGTACTGCAGCCACATATGGGCTGGTGCTGCGAAATGCCACCTAGCGGCTTTGGATTCGGTGGAAAGGCGTGCAAAGAGGCTGATTGGAGATCCAGATTTGGTTGGGTCCAATATTCAAAGTCTCGAGCACAGGCGCAGAGTAGCCAGCCTTGCGGTTTTCTACAGGATACATTTTGGAGAGTGTGCCCAGGAATTGCACGATTTGATTCCGCCATCCCAATTTCACCTTCGGACATCCCGGCGTACGGCGAATATCCACCCCTACGTTGTTGAGACACCTGCGGCCCGGACTAAGCGTTTTGCCTCGTCATTTATACCGCGTACATCGAGGGATTGGAACAGTTTGCCGGCTAGAGTGAATAGGCTCTTAATAAACTAGTGCGCCTTACCATCAACGATTGCATCACTGCTTAACATCAGGTGGGATCGCAGTCAAGCACTGGTTTATTGCAAGTAAAAAAAAAAAAAAAAAAAAAAAAAGAAGGAACAGTTTTTTTATGTAATAGGTCGGCAAACGAGCCCACGGATTACCTCATGGTAAGCAATCAGAGCCGCCCATGGACACCTGTAACACAGAAATAACGAGTGCGTTGCCGACATTTAAGGGATTAGGGATGATGATTGGAGATTAAAAGATTGGGCCTCCAGTAACCTCATTCACACGGTGAAACACAACGGTGTGGTTGTTTCACGCCGGTTTTCTGTGAGGCCGTGGTATCACTCCGATCGAGTCGACCCATTCGTGCCGAAGCATGACTCTCCCACACTTAAAAAGGATGGTTTTTAATCTGTAAGAGTCTGACATTCGTTCTGGACAAGACATTTTATGATTAAAAAATAATCTGGATCATAGTCTGATTTACAAAAGAATTGATCATTACTTAATACATTAGATAATTGTCGACAACAGCTAGTGTTTCGTTAATTGTATAAGTAGGTATACATATATTTTATAGCATGCTAGGTAACAAAAATATAAACAGTTGATAGTGGCAGTAAAAATAACAATGCTCAGTGTTTCTCCGGATGTGATGCGACCATGGAGGTCGCAATGACGATTTCAAGGTGAAAATACTTATTGCAGATATAAAAATATATTATTTTCAATGAATTGCTAATATTAAACGTTTTCTATTATTTATTTACAAACGAAATCTTTAATAGTTATGTAATATTTCATTTCACGTCAGATGTAATGAATTTTCTAGTTTTTATTTACATGGGATAGGGCGGTATGAACAGACAGACATAAGATCGCCTGATGGTAAGCAATCAGTGCCACTCGCTCATGGACACTTCCAACACAAGTGGAGTTGGGAGTACATTACTTGCTTTTTAGAGGTAGGTTGAGAATTGGGAGGTTTGGGGATTGGGGATGAAATTTAAATTGACTTATTTGCAATACTTCTTGTTCCTACCCTTATCTCAAGTAGTTTGTTGTTCGTTTTTACATTCTTCAAGAGTCAATATGTTATGCGTTTTTACATTTTTTTTATCGCACTTATTATCATAGAGGATTCTCTAAAGTAACATAAAGTCATTCATTCATTACCACGACCATTATCTCATTTCCGCAAGCCAAAACAATGTAAAAATTGTTTAACTTCTGATTACACAATCCGTTTACAACTTGACGTTGACGTTTAGTTACGACGCCATCGCCATGACAAATTACGCGCCATTTTTTAAACGACTTTATTTTTCTTTTATTTTTTAAACATAGAATTTCTTTTTTTAATAGCATAATTTTGTACTAGCATTTTTTTGCTGTTTCGTGTGTGCGTTTTTTAACTTTGTCAAATACAAAATTACAATTTAAAGTTAGACTGAGAGCCAATAATATCCAAATAGAAGACACGTCTTTACTGTTTCTGTTATTTTCGGCCCTAATTCTATGGATATTTTACGAAATAATTTTGGCAAAAATATCTCAATTTCTATAGTGTAGTATAAAATAAACAAACAAAAAAACTTACCCGGACGAAGGGATTCTTCTTTGGTAATTCATGGTCGACTTCATCCCTGGACTCGTCGTCATCCGCGGAGTTAACCCTCACGCAGGTTTTATGGATAGTCTGCGGGTCATCCATACCCACCACTCATCATACACATACACTACACTACACTGCCATCCACTCTTGTTACACTAAAACAAAACACTTCCCAATTCTATTCCAAATTCAAATTTTAATTTTAATCACTTTTTATTTTTACTTTCAGGAATTTTACTTCACTTTACACTTTTATTTTTGGAATTTTAGTTTTTTATTTTTATTTATTTTCTTTTAAACGTGCGCTCAGCGTGCGTGGTGTACCTGTAATCATTAGAATTGTAGATTAATTACGATACAGGAGATAATGAGTAATTCTGGTCAAATATTGATGTCATTGCGACCGACATACATAGATTGTTTGCTTAAAGATAATAGCTAAGTAATCTTAAGATAGGTACTAGCTGTGTTTGTGTTTCTCAACCGTGAACGTTTTATCTTGAATCTAGTTTTTACTTTCATTGAAGAGTTTTGGCATTTTCAATGTCACGCTTCGGCACGAATGGGTCGGCTCGACCGGAGTGATACCACAGCCTCACAGAATACCGGCGTGAAACAACCCACAGTGTTGTGTTTCGCCGTGTGAGTGAGGTTACCGGAGGCCCAATCCCGTCCCTTCCCCTATCCCTTCCCGATCCTTACATCCGCAACCCTTATCCCCAAAAGGCCGGCAACGCACTCGTAACTCCTTTGGTGTGCGGGTGTCCATGGGCGGCGCTGATTGCTTACCATCAAATAATCCGCTGTTTGCAGTCTGCTCGTTTGCCGACTTATACCATTAAAAAAAAAGTCACTCGGCAATTATTGAACCTATATTTTGATTTCTATTTCGGGAACCATTTGGACTTTTGACAGTTGAAATTTTAAAACGAAATATGCGTTTTACGTTGTTATATAGGTACCTACGGAATATTTTCAGAAAACAGTATGATTTTAAGTGTAGTGTAGAAATGTTATCGTAGTGATACCACGGCCTCATAAAGCGTTGTAAGATGCTGGTTTCAAATTTTCCCTCGTCACTAAACCCTCAATGTTAGGTTCCTCAGATTCCTAATTTCTAGATGGTCGACAGCGCACTTCTAACTCCTCGACATTGCTGGCGTCTGATTGCTGACCATCATTTTTTTTTTATTGGTTATAGGCTCGCGCTTGACCGCTATCTCACCTGATGGAAAGCGACGATGCGGTCGACGATGGAGCGCGCTTACCTAGAAGTAACCTATTCACTCTTGACATAAAGATACCCAGATTGTAGCTATCAGGAAACACCGACTCCGGCAAGGAATTCCACTCCTTGGCTGTACGCATAATAAATGTGCTCCCAAAACGTTTTGTACGTATATGTGGGACATCCACCATGTACCGGTGGCGCAACGCCGTACGTCTGGTGGTCCGATGATGGAACGGGCTACGCGGATGTTAGCTATAATTCTATTATGTCGTATTTCCATACTTTTTTATGACGAGAGAATATCTATTAAAGTCTTTTCCCGGCCCCCTGACTTAGAACCACCCCGTTCCTTCTTCTGCTTTTAGCCTGGCTGCAGTACCTCATCCATGGCGTAGTTCCTAATTGACAATTTCTACCTAATATGTTCCTAAGTTATAACACAACTAGCATTATTCTTGGTGTTTATAAATAATGTGAAGTAACAATTGTATACATTACGGCGTTCCCAAATAATTACGTGTCATGGCGTCTCTCGAGTCTTAGCCTTAACAATAACATTACGTAAGAGAGAGACAGTTTGAGAATTAGGTTTCGGAACACCATTAAAATTACTGTATATGTAAAGGTACTTATTTTTTTATTTTATACGTCGGCAAACGAGCATACGGATTACCTGATGGTAAGCAATCAGCGCCGCCCATGGACACTCGCAACGGAGAAGTTACGAGTGCGTTGCCGACTTTTTAGGGATTAGGGATTTGGAGATTTAGGGATTTAGGAGGGATTGGGGGAGGGGAAGGATTGGGCCTCCGGTAACCTCACTCACACGGCGAAACACAACGCTGTGGTTATTTCACGCCGGTTTTCTGTGAGGCCATGGTATCACTCCGGTCGAGCCGACCCATTCGTGCCGAAGCATGGCTCTCCCACACATATTTTCGTTATGTATTTAGCTTTTCTGTGTTCTCTTCGATATATTTACAACATATAATTGGTCGTGGTAATAAGAAGTCTGCTTGTGACCACGACCTGTGCAACCAGGTCGAAACGTCAAGCCTACCAAGGTATTTAAATAAAAACTTTTCGCGTTAATACCCGCGTAATTATCTGTTGTAAAAATGAAACGTGCTGGTTTAAAAACTCTTTGATATACATAATATTATTGTTTGAACAGAGAAAATTCCAAAGTCAAAAACAAAATCTAATTCTTTATTTGCATGTAAAGGGTAAAATACATGGGTATTAAATGAAATAAAAGGCACAGCTTTTTTTGAGGGGAAAATTATTAAATAACTCCTCCCGCCCGCCCTTGTGTCTTACTGACTAAAAAGCCCCCGTTCCTTCTCCTGCTATCAGCCGAGGCCGCGGTTCCTTATTGCGTCTACCCCTCGACCCCGGATGAACATCAGCCCTTTTTTTGTTTTTTTTTTGTGAGTGGCAAATCAACAAATGACTTCTCCCGCCTGGCCCTGGGCGGCGGGCGGGCGGGCGGCCAGGCGGGAGGGAGTGCCAGACTCTAACTGACTAAAAACCCCCCTGTTCCTTCTGCTGCTCTGCCTGCTCTGGGCCGAGATCGCGGTGCCTCAGAACATCAGCCCTAAAGGGCAAATTTGAAGGATTACTTAAAATACTTAAATTAAATTACATTTTCTAAACATATTTAACACAATTGTGTTTCTAAACATATTTAACACAATTCAATATTTTGAATACCTAATATTATGAGATACCTATAAAACGTCACTGTAAACTTCAAATCCACAGCCAACTTAGCATATTCACATTAAAATATTAATTAAAAACGCATGATACCACTTCGTCTCGAAAATTACTCTTGTATGCTAATTTCATGTCAATCATCTCGAAAACGGCTGTAACGTTAAAGATTGCCTTTTGTCCGCGGTACGTAGGTACAGATACACTTTGCATAACAAAAGTTCAGTAGAAAACTTATGCTCGTTGCTGACGTCATACATACCTACATAGGATAGGAACAATTTTTATATTACCTATGTAGAATAGACGTGAACTGGCAACTATTTTGAAAAAAATATTCTGTTTTATTCATCATCATCAGCCTATAAAAGCCCACTGCTGACCAAAGGCCTCTTCTCAAACGTAGAAGTTTTGAGCATTCATTCCCACGCTTGCTCAATGCGGGTTGGCGATTTCAAACTTATAATTAGAAATGATAAGTCCAGGTTTCCTCACGATGTTTTTCCTATTGTTACACGCCGGTTTTCTATGAGGCAGTGGTATCACTCCAGTCGAGCTGGTTCATTCGTGAAGCCAATCCGCTTCTAACCTAGTGTATGTCATTAGGAGCCTCTTCAAAACGTTTATCAAAACATAATTCCCTTAATACACATATCACATCCGTACCTCAAAGACAGGCAAACAGACAGAATTGTACATTTATTGACAAACAAGGCAGTACATTGTCGTTCAAACTGTAAACGGACATACAGACAAACATCCTTACTAACAAGCAAACTTTGTTCATTAAATTTCCTTGTGTTGAAAGAACTGAGCGGCTGTCATTGCCAAGCTATGTACACAAAGCAGCTTGTAATATTTATTCAATGCAAAACCTATCTATATATACATTTTTATATTACATTTTATTACATCTTCTTATATATAAAAATGGATCGCAAAATGTTGGTAAGCGCATAACTCAACAACGCCTGGACCAATTTTGCTAATTCTTTTTTTGTTGTGATTGTTATTGTCAGGAGAAGGTTCTTATCAAAGAAAATATTAGTAAAGTAAATGGGAAAATTGGAAAAAACTGACCCTTTTGTTGTAAGGATAGTAAGACCCGTGCGAAGCGGGGGCGGGCCGCTAGTTTTTTTTATAAACATAGGTACTCATATGCTTTTTTTGGATATATTATATGTGATAGAACGGCAAAGGAGCTGACGGATTACCTGATGGTAAGCAATCATCAATTCACACGGCGAAACACAACGCTGTGATTGCTTCACGATAGTTTTCTGAAATTTGGTATGTAGATGGGTTTTGGGATTAACACATTGGCTGTTTTTTATTAACATACCTAGGTACCAGAAGGATAAAGCCGCGGGTGAAAGCTAGTTATCAATACACTTCTCTTATGGAGTGAGAAGGAGCTTGGTCTCACTTGTAAAATACCACCACTTTCTTCAGGGCTCAGGGCCGGTCTGGTAAATGACTGTCTGAACTAACCCTCCTTTTCTACCTTTCACTGGTAAGGGGACAGAGCGATAAAACTTTAAATACCGATAGTAGTAAAAAAAAAACAAAATTGAATATATTAATTAAAATCAAAAGTTAAGTACACTTTGAGGCTCTTTTGCAACCATACTAGTGTGATATTCCAGACTTTAATTGATTTCTATGTCACATTCAGGTCTGTTCAAACATTATGACGCGAATGAGTAACATACATCTATCCATTCACCCGTCTATAGTAACATTTTTTGCGTTTATAATATTAGTACTTAGGATAACCAAGAATGCAAAGCGCAGGTACTCAATTCGTCATTAACATTCGGAAGGGCGTTGCGAATCTTCGAACAAACCATTAAAATATTTACTCATGCTAAAAATATGAGACTTGTCCTCAAAGACACCATTTATTATGACTCATTATCATTTTACGAAAAACAATTTAAATTCTTAGCACCCCTCCTTAAACTTAGATAGTCTTTATTTTGTATGCTTTAAAAGTTAATTTTGCATGATTCGTTATCCTATATGTATATGTTTATCAGTATGTATGTTTACATACTATATTTGTTTGTTCAGTAATATTATTATAGTGTAATATGAGTAATGATTAATTTTATATTTTTTCAGCGAAATATTGTGAGTTATTATTTTGTTACTTGGCTCGATTCTGGATTGGAGAGAGAGCCCTTTTTCTGTGGGGGGAAAATCATCAAATGTCTTCGCGAGCCCAGGGTATGACGAGAACGAGAAATGATTTCCGTAAACCGTGAGCGCGAGTCTGCGGACGGCGAGTCAGGGTAGCTCACTGCCTGACTACACTACGTTTGCCTAGACGTGGTCCCAGCGGGGACTCCAGCGGTCATCGGTTCTTCGACAGATG